GATAGAAATGGTGCAGGGTTCCAAACAAACAAGAAAATCTTAGTATTGTTTCATGTAGATGTTTTCAATGAAATGTATCTGCATGTGATATATATACAGCTTTATATTATTCACTACATTGCTTTATTTTCACATTGTTTCACTTTTTTTTTAATCTCTCTTTCTCCAGGATTCTATTCTAGTAACACTTTTTTATCACTAGAGCCACTCTTAGATTTGCTAATTCATTAAATTTCAGTCTACTTCTCTTAAGCAATCATTAGAAAGGCTGTAACATTTAAGATACAAGTGGCAAAAGTAGCACGATTGAGTACGAATTCTGTCAATTGAGGGTTTGATTCTAGAATAGTTCTGTTTTGGTTTTTTTTCACTTCTGCGAAGTCACCTTGAAGTCACTTAATCTTTTTGAATCTCAGTTTTCTCAACTAGAAATAAAAGGACTGAATCAAATGATCTCTAAACTTCCCTTTAGCCATCATTCTCTAAAATATTTAAGATATCACTGCAGAAATTAGCTAGAGATCCCTGCAAAACTTTGCCACAGTTCTCTATGCCAGCAACAGATGGAAGACTGTACAGGAAAATGTTTAGAATTCAGATCAGCTGGCTGGCTCCAGGAAAATAACTATAATAAACACTCATCTTTCAGACTGTACAATTTTTATCGTTGAAAGGGCTAGACTAAATTTTAATATACTAACACCTATAAGGAAAAAGACTTTCCAATCAAACCAACCAGGTGAAGAATATTTACAGGAAAAAGACTTACACAAGAAGATAAGTTGCTTTTAACAGCATCAAATACTTTGGAAAATAATTTACATGTGACTTACGATTTTTTTTCCTTTAAAGCAAGTCTTTCCGTGGGAAGGTTTTTTTTGATAACAAATTCAATTTATTTAATAGACATGCATTACTCACATTTTCTATTTATTTTTATATCAGTTTTGGTATGTTGTCTTTTTTCAAAGGATTTGCCTACTGCATCTTAGTTGTTGAATGTCGTTGAGATAAAGTTATTCATGGTTTGTTCAAATCTGCTACATTATTCTTTATACTTTGTACTAATTTTCCTATCAATTACTAAAAGCATGTAAAAAATTTCCAGCAATAATTATGAAATTGTCCATTTTATTCTTTAATCCTGTCAACTTTTGTTTTATTTGCCTTGAAGCTCTCTTGCTAAAGCATACACATTTAGGATTATTATCTGATTCTGATTAATTGGTCCTCTTACTATTATGAAGTGTCCTCTCTATCTCTGGAAATAGTCCTTGAAGTCTACTTTGACGTTAACATCGCCACTCTAGCCCTCTTCTGCTAGCCTTTTTTGTTTGTTTTCTCTTTCTATCCTTTTACTTCCAATTAATGTCTCTTTATATTCATCTCTTATAGACAGCATACAGTTGGTTCTTGGTTTTTTTATCCAGCCTGACAAGCTCTTACTTTTAATTGTAATGTTTATTCTGTATATTTAATATAAATGTTGGTACAGTTGGGTTTAAGTCTACTGTTTTCCTATTTGTTCTTTATTTACTCCATATGATCTCATTTTCCTGTCTTCTTTTGGGTTAACCTAATAGTTTTTGTTATTCCATTTTAGTTTTTCTATTACCTTGTAGGTTTACCTTTTTGCATTACTTAGTATTCTGGGAATCACAATATGCATTCTTACAGTATCACATACTACTTAGAATTAATACTACTACAAATAAAACGAAGGAAACTTGCAAGAGTATAACTCCACTTCTTTTGCTATTATTGTCACAGATATTCGCATCTACTTAACTTATAAGTACCATGAAAATGTTATGACTTTGCCTTAAGTGGTCAGTTTTAAAGAAATTAGAAAAAAATTTATTCTTTTAAATTGATCATTATGTATTTTCTATTTTCAATGTTCTTTACTTCTTCTTGTAGATTCAAATTTCCATAAGGTGTCATTTCCATTCAGTACGAAGAGCTTCTTTCGACAGTTGTCAAATTAAGATAAGCTGGCAATAAATTCTCATTTCTTTAATTTAGCTGAAATTGTCCTTTTTCACCCTCAATGTCATGGGATAGTTTCACTGGATATAGAATTATCAGTTGATAATTCTTTTTCTTTCAGCACTCTAAATATATAATTTCATTGCCTTCTGGCCTCCATAATTTCTGATAACAAGACATCCATCATTCTTAGAATTGTAACCCTCTATACAACATGTGTTTTTCCCCTCTAGTTATTTCCAAGGTTTTTCCTTTGCCTTCAATTCTAACTTGTCAACTATGATGTGACTACCTGTGGTTTTTCTTGTATTTATCCTGCTTAGAATGTGATGATCTTCTTGGACACGTAAAGATGGTTTTTAATAAATTTGGGAAAAATTCAGCCATTATTTCTTCAGTTACTTTTTCTCCCTGATTTGATTTCTCTTCTGAGACTTCAATTTACATATCGTAGGCCACTTGATATTAACTTACAGGTCACTCAGCTCTGCTCATTTTTTTTCTTGATTATTGCTTTCTTTTCTTCAGATTAGTCTCTATTGATCTACAAGTTTACTGACCTTTTCTAATGCCTACTCCAATATATTGTTCAACCCATCCAATAAAATTTTTATATCAGATATTGCATTTCTCAGTTTTAGAATTTTCATTTGATTATTTTTTATAGTTTATATTTCTGCACTGAGATCTTCTCTTATTGAGAACATCTTTTTCTTTAAGTTCTTGAACATTTATAATAGCTGCTTTAAAGCCTCCATTAATTCCAACATCTGGGATATCTTTTCTTTTGATATAAGTTGGATTTGCTGTTTCTTAACATGTCTAACATTTTATTTACTGTATAATAAACATTATACATTGTAGAGGCTCTGGATTGTGTTACTGTCCTTGAAGGAATGTTGATTTTTTTAAATTCTAAGTTGCAGCTAAATTACTGGTTTATCATCTTGAACTGGCCAAGGCTTGGTTTTATGCTTTTGTTAAGGGGAATCAGTTTATTTTGTCCTTAGTACTAAGGTGAATCCCTTAGTCCTGGGACATAGTCTCCATTCTTTGGGTTACCCTTCTAAGATTTCCATGGAAAGACTGAGGTGTTTACTAAGTCCCTGTCACTTAGCAGGACTTAAGCCCAAATTTCTGTCTCCCTCCATGGTGAACAGCAACTGAAAACTCTGCCTAGGCTCTAAGTTCCATAAATCTTGTTCACTCTGTCCTTAGCACCTGAAAGACAAGTGCTTAATGTTTGTCATTAAATGAATCAAGTAGGAGAGACTGAAAGAAAATTTTCTCAGTAGGACAAGATAAAAATCTATTCTCCTTTTTCTCTAGAAATTGTTCATTTATTCAACTATATTTTCTGAGTATCTATTACATTCCAGGGATTATGCCAGGAGCTATAAACAGAAGTGTAAACAGAATCAACAATTCCTGCCCTCACAGAGCTTGCAATTTTAGTCAGGGAATTGTTCTGGCACAATTTAGCTTGTAGCATATGGCAATGACTCTGCAATGAAAAGATCTAGGTTTGGAGGCTGGCCTGGTGGTGTAGCAGTTAAGTTCGCACACTCCACTTTGGCAGCCTGGGGTTCATGGGTTCAGATGCAGGGCGTGGACCTACACACCGCTCATCAAGCCATGCTGTGGCAGTGTCCCATACACAAAATGGAGGAAGACTGGCACAGGTGTTAGCTCAGGGACAATCTTCTTCACCAAAGAAAGAAAGAAAGAAAAGACCTAGGTTTGAATCCACTCTATCACCAACCAGTGGGATGACCCTAAGTGAGATATTCAACCTAAGTTTTCTCATCAGTAAAATGATGATAATAAAAATACTTATATCATTATGTTGTTATGGGAATTAAATGAAAGTATCTGATACAAAGTCAAGTACAAAATAAGCACATGCTATTACTAAATTTATTATGAGATTAGCTCTCAGATAATATCCAATCTTGGATATCGGCCTAAGATTCACCACAAAGTGCAATTCCACAATATTCGAACCTTAGAATTTTGAAATTCAGATTTTTTGTAATTTTAGGAAATTAATATAGCACATATGATGCATTATGTAACATTCAAGCAGGGTCAGGAGCAGTGTCCTATCATCAAACACATTAATAGTAATTAGCTAATATAATTAATGTTAATATGTATGCAAAACAAATGTTCATATAAAATGGGAAAGTAAAGACTATGAATAATCATAATCACTTATCACTTCAGGTCAGATTTGACACTAAGAGTTTTGGCACCACTTTAGGGCATCAACTTTCAGTTTCTGGAGCTTTCTGAATCTTGGAATTGTGAATGAGGGATTACGGACCTTGAGAAACTGAGAGGAGGAATGAAGAAGGAGGTCAGGTAAGAAAAGGTATCCTGAATAATACATTTAAATAAACCTGTATTTACTGGGGGGGGTTAGATTTCCAAACCAGTTGCTTCTGTCAAACTTAAACCTCCAAAGTTTATCTTTTCACTATTTTTATCTACACGGCCTAGCACAGTGCTTTGCACCTAGTCAGTACTAAAATATTATTTGGTGAATTAATGAATGAATGTATTCCCAATGAACAGGAAAACAGTGTGAAACCTGTCCTTTTCAAAAACCTCACTGTTAACTTTTCACTATCCCTTTTTTCTATCTCACTCTCCAATCTATCTCACAAAATCAACAGTTTTTCACAAAAGTTTGTCCACAGATTTGGTACATAAAATAGCAAAGCAATCTTAAGAATCCCGCCTAGAGTCATTAAAAGGCAGGCCCTACCACAGCGAATTGTAGTGCACAGTTTCTAATAAACAAACAGCTGAAACATGCAGTATTGTTTACACTGCTTTTCCTAGCTACTACAAAGTAAACTTCAGCCACATCTACTGAATGATCATTAATATACTCAAAAGAATATATATTTTTTCTTCTTGTTTTCATCAAATTACATGGAAACACTAAAAAGGATACATTAAAAACCTGAGCTTTCAACAACCTACACTCATTTAAACCTGGATATTTATGTCAGTAATTGCATTGATAAAACCAAAACCAAGCACATTAATTTATACTTTTCTTTTATCATATAAAAGACTGACCCGGGTTGTGGCTTTGGTTCTGGCTTGACAGGTGATTGTTCTTTTTTCAAAAGGGATTTCTAGAATAAGAGAAAGAAGAGTTGATATTGGTAGAAAAACAACTTCATCGTCTGTAAAATTTTAATTCCATTGACAACCTGCTAAATGATCAAAGGGCAAAAGAACCATTTTATTATTATAAATATTATAAACCTAAACACTGCTATAAATTTGTAAGTATACTCAAAGGAGTATGATCGCTGAACCTCCTCCAGCATCTTTTGGCACCAGAAATACAATTCCTATTAATCACTTCAGTGAGCAAACATCCATACAAATTTATTACAGATGAGAATTTATTTATTTACTTACTTATTTGTCCTCTGTCCTATAAAACAGATTTAAATCAGCTTACAAAAAATACAGTGCATATGAAAAAGGAAAATGAATAAGAAAATCAGGCTAAAGGGAAAATTTGAGTGGAAAAATGTCAAGTGGGCCAGCCCGGTGGCACAGTGGTTAGGTGCACACGTTCCACTTTGGCGGCCTGGGGTTCACCGGTTCGGATCCCGGGTGTGGACATGACACCACTCATCAAGCCATGCTGTGGCAGGCATCCCACATATAAAGTAGAGGAAGATGGGCAGGGACATTAGCTCAGGGCCAGTCTTCCTCAGCAAAGGGAGGAGGATTGGCAGCAGTTAGCTCGAGGCTGATCTTCCTCGAAAAAAAAAAAAAGAAAGAAAAATTTCAAGTATTTTCTGATATTGCTTGATGTGTGACAGAGATTTGGCTCTTAAATTCCTAGCTATCAGTGTTATGGACTGAATTGTGTTTCCCCAAAATTCACACGTTAAAGCCCTAATCCCCAGTGTGACTGTATTTGGAGAGAAGGCATTTCAGGAAGTAATTAAGGTTAAACAAGGTCATAAGAGTGAGGCCCTGATCCAATAAGACTGGTGGCCTTGGAAGAAGAAGAGACACCAGGGCACGCATGCACAGAGAAAAGGCCATGTGAGCACACAGCAAGAAGCGGCCATCTATAAGCCAAAGAGAGGAGAAACCAACTCTGTTGGCACCTTGATCTTGGACTTACAGCCTCCGGAGCTGTGAGAAAACAGATTTCTATTTGTGCAAGTCACCCAGTCTGTAGTATTTTGTTATGGAGGGTCTGGAAAACTAATATACAAAGTAACAAAGAGAACTCAGTATTTCTAACTTTCATAATGTCTATAAGAGAAGCAAACATTTTCTGTAAAAAATTGCTTCCACGAGTCCTTCAGAAGAAGCCTGGTACAATGTAGTGAGCAGCTTCAACAGCATCTCTTCAACAATTACACCAGACTGTTTAACATGAACTTTCCTTACACAGTTCTTGAATACTGGTCAATGGTAGAAAGCACAACTTGGGAAGATAATTCTACAAGACCTCAGAATAACTGGCCCATTGCCTCTCTGGTCACTTGGCAAGATCCAAAGTTTAAATTGATACCTAGAGACATGAGCAAACCATATATCAATAACCAAGACACTCTGTCACTGACTTCTCGTAGGGTCTGAAGGAGAAGACAATATCAACAATCCAAAATCTATTAACCTTTTACTCATTTACCAAGATTACCTCCAATTCTTCTTATTTGAGATTATCTCTTCAAAAGCTACTTTGTACAAAATAATTGTCATGGCAGATTACAAACTAGATATGCAATCCATCAATGTCTCTAAGTATTAGTTGAAGGAAAATGCTCATTTTAGTCTTGCTTTTTAAGTTTCAAATACGTATTTAACAACTATTTGACAACTGAAGCCAAAGAAGTTTGTTATATAAAATCCCAGGACATATAAAAGATCAACGTAAAGATGAAATGTGAAAAAAGCTGTGTTTGTACTGCAAAAATATACAGTATTAAGACAGAGTAATCCCTTTAAATATTGTAAACAAATCACAAATCTCTCCTTTAGAGTTAAACTTCATTCTGTCTTATACTGCTGTGTCAGATGCAGCTGTAATATATACATGTAACTTGTAACATATACAAGTTAACATATACTTGTATATGTCAATTTGTATTTCATGCCATTCATTTCTTAAGATCAAAGATTAACTTTTCTTCTACAGTTACATTAGAATGCGACAATAACCTTGAGAATTACTTATCATCTCTCAAGTATTTGCTACTTTTAGAATTCCCTGTTCACGTTTTCTTTGTCAAAGTAAACAATCATTCTCAAGGATAATACTGTACTTTTAAAAATTTATGTGCAACATGTAGGTGATAATAAAACATGAAGCAGAACCTATATATTAAATGTGGCTCTCACAATGTTCCATGACACATATTCATGGCTACAAAAATTAATTTTTAACCCATGTATTCCATGGTTTTCCACAAAACAATGTGCTTGGAGTGGAACACACCATCCTTATATGATACTACTGTTTACATTTGCCAGTTTAATTTTTTTTTAACTGGTTCCTTCTTGCCAGACTAACTGAATTGGCATGTTGTCCATGATGAAGGATGTCAAATGTGAAGGCCGCTAAGTTAACAGTCTCAGACAAACATTCTTGAGGATTTTCCTTACTAAGATGTTCTCTGATTAGTTCCAGGTACTCTCTGGCAACTTTATTGCATTCACAACCTCCCTTTGTGACTCTTTCTTCCTAGCTAACATAATTAGAACCTGGGCTTTTTTGGTTTCCTTTTTTGCATAGTCGATAGCAGTCCTTTTTTTTTTAGGAGTCCCGTTTTATTTTGCCAATGTCTTAGTTTTCTACATACTTATCTATTCAAATCTCAAGTCCACTCTGTCTTGATGTTTCAACTCCATTCTCTCTCAAAATCTTTCTTTCCTTTTTCCACAGCTGCCACCCGCTTCTTTCAACTTCTTGAAGCTCCTAGTCTCTCCATGACAAGGCATTTGGAGTGACACATTCTAAATACTTGGCTGAAGATGTACATCATTTATTAAATGTTTGTGTCAAATTTTTTAACAACCTGTGTGGATTTATTCCAAACCACTCTCAGACACCTTTCCCCCACGTATTTTCTCAAACCCCAGTTAACTGGTACCAAACTTACTTCCAATAATTTATACAATATTATTACATCTTAAGTTTCATTTTAGAAGCAGCTGTCTAACCCATCAATTCTCCTCTTCGTTCCAATCTTATCTGGAACTTTTTTTTTCCTTTTGACAATGCTGCTAATTTCTCTCAGTCTAATGATTAAATTCTTGCATTGATTAACCACAGATAAAATACAGAAGAAAGCCTTTCATTTTGCACCTTAATGTTAGACATATTTCTGTATTCTACTACTAGTGTGAAACTCTGGAATATGTTTGCTATAAAAAAGTAACCTGTAATTGTCATATTACACTCCCAATCTATAATTGACATAGTACCTTCAAACCTGATTAAAGAGTCTTTTCTAAGTAGCAAGGAATTTTCATAGTTTTAAACAGCTTTGTGACCCTACCAGAAGCATATATAAACACACCATTAAAGGTAAAATGAAAGGTTTGTTTAAAAATAGGTAACTGTGAAGACAAACTCATAATATCATATATGTATAAAATTACTAATTACACATTAAAGCATGTGATATAAACTGAAAAGCTTTTTCTGGCAAGCTTGAATATTAACACTTGTGTTTCCCCAGCAGGTCAGTCATGTCACTAGCACCTTCTGTGAAATAGCAGTGAGCTGCATTCCTTATACTGCTACTGCTTCTTGTACAAGAAATGGTTTAAACAGAAAAATGTCAATAACTTGCACACGTGCAGAACCAGAAGGCACCAAACACATCATTCTGGGATCTTTCACAAGTCAGCATCTTTGCATTATCGAACTTTGGAGCTTCTAAGAACAAACACAAACCATAGGAGGGTTTTCAAGCCACAGAACCACCTTCTGGAACTTGTAATAGGCCTAGGAAACCCACGGTTTCTCAAAATCTACTCATGGAGACAGAGAAGCCTGCAATTTGGAAGGTGTTCTTAAGTGTAGTATTTTCTTTAAATTTCTTAAGAGAAGTGGAGGGATCCCAAAGGTAATGCTGGTCAGTCTGTAAAAGCCATAGCCTCAAAAAGCCATTCAACTGTCAGATTAGGGGACACTGAAGAAGGTAACCCAGCAAAACATAGGTTGTTCATTTACCAGTCACTAGACAAAGTTTCTTTAACCTCCAAGGGAAATCAAAGGTATAGGAATTTACTCTTTTATATGTAGGAATTTAAGCATAGCATTAGAGGCAATAAAAAGACTAAAGAGAAGGAGTGAACCAGATAGAGAAGTTTACATCCCAATATAAGTCCCTCTGAGGATTGAAACCTATTCACAAATGATATAATAGTGGTGCTGTGTTCAGGAATATGTTCATAGCAACAAATCACAGCACAAAAATAAATTCTAAAAACAAACAAAAAAAGATATACTTAATGCATGGCTGAGCTGATGGGAAAGGATAATGGAATTCCTTTCTGGTCAAAAACAACAAGAAATGTTGAGTTTACTGTTTTATGAGTTCTGAAGCCTTTCCCTTGCGGATTGCGTGGCAATTCCTGATGACCTGGAGCCTGGGTTTTAATAAGCTCTATGCCCTGTGGTTGGGAGACAAACACTGAAACCCAGAGCATGAAGGAATGTCAGAGTTGAGAAAACCCCTCATGAAACCTGAGCACTGGAAGGGCAATACCCTTAGAGTAAAACTAGGATTTAAAAACTTCCCAGAAGAGAGAAAGAAAGAGAGAAAGAGAAAGAGATACAGTGAGACTACATGTCTGTCATGACCTTGGCTCTGGATAGAGAGGGAAAAAAATTCCCCCCCCGACAGGAATTTTGATGACAAGATATCATTCACATGGATTTGGGGCCTCAATTCATACCATCTAAAATGTCCCACAAGCCCTGCTACAACAGAAAGGTCAAAACTTTGGAATAAAGTGGTCCCAGGTTTGACAGTGCTCTAACGCACCTGGTAAAAGCAAATGTCAATCATTTTTAGAAGAATTCAGGTTAAACTGAGGCTTCAATGAATTATCACAATAAAATACCAACAAAAATTAGCTCATAATC